TGGGCTACAGTGAGTTTTAGAGTTGCATAGCAAAAAGCTGTCTCAAAAAAAACAAAAAAAGAACCAACTAACCCCTAAGATCCAATGCCGAACAAGACACCCCACACAAGTATAGATAATAATAATAATACTTTAAAAATAAAAATACATGGAATAGGGGGTTAAACCCATATTAGGATAAAGTACCTAACATATAAGAAGTGGACCTGAGGCGCCTGTAGAAATGGCTTGGGGTTAAGAGTATTTGTTGCTTTTCTAGAGAACCTAGGTTTAGTTCCTAGCATCCTCTTCACACACAATTAAAAACAGTAAAGGAAAAAGATATGGATCTGAGAGCGGAGATGAAGGGGTTCAGGACACAGGACTCTCTTGAGTGCAATTGCATAGGTTCACACAGCAAAGGCCCAGCCTAGGAGGCCCCAGGGCTCGGGAATCTTGCTGTCTAGGACAGAGTAATAGCAGGTACAGGGTGGTCTTACTCAGTGGCAAGTAGGGCAAGGTGGGGGTCAGGGGACCTGTCCCCAAAGGCAGTGCTCTTCACTGGTACATGTGCAGAATAGGGCTTGGGACACTTTCCTGTCCCATGTGAACTTGGCTACATTAGAGTCAGGGGCCTTCCTCCCCACCCATTTTCCTGGTCTCTGACAATAACCCAGGTGGCCTAAGGGATCTGTAGCGGACAATGAGCAATATCCTCCCGACAAGTAATTATAATACCAGTCGGGCTGCATGCAGCCCTAAAGTGTGTATGTTCTCAGGTATGTATCCAGGCCTTTCTGCATGCTTGTGTGCTGTTTTCAGTAGCTCTGTGCCCTGGACTGTCCTCCCAGGGACAGCTGCTCTGAGCCTCAGACATGAGGGACATTTCTAGCCCCCTGTTCTCCTTTAGGACAAACCCTGTCTTTTCTGCCTCTCTTACCTGACCCCTAAGCCTAAAATTCGAACACCCTCCAACCCAACCCCAATCCAAGGACAGCTTCTCCTTCCCTCTAACTCAGGAAGAGGTTTGCTGACTTTGGGAATGAGAAGTGAGTGAGTGTGGGTGGGATGGAACCATGCCCTGACTCCTACTCTCTCTGAACCCTGCTCTCTCCATGACCCCTTGAAAATGAAACAGGACTGGACCCATTTCCCCTGCTCTGGGGCAGACCTGAGCTCCAAACACCATTGCTTAGGCTCAGCTTGGCACACCTCCCCACCCCACCCCACCCCCTGCCACATCCGTCCCCTCCCGCACATCTAGGGGACACTCGTGCCACATGTGAGTTCCCCTCATCCACACCCTTGGTTTCTAAGTGTCTTGACATTTGGCCTGTGCCCCTCACCCACCACAGACCTGCAGCTCTGGCCTCTGCTCTCTCTGCCCTCCTGATAGCTCCCAGGGCCTGTGCACTGGGCAAATGCTGATGGAACTGAATTCGGCTCCAAGGATGGTGGTGTCTCTCAGGCTAGAGCTATTGAGCAGAGAAGAAAGGGTTGGAGTAGCTGCTGCATGGCTGCAGGGGTAGGGCAGAGGTATGGCCACTCTTTGTGGGTTTGGCTCCCTCTGTCTGGGAAAGCCCTTTCCTTAGGTAGCCGCAGAGCCAGGGTTTAGTGGCCATATGCAGTCCATACAGGCCTACAGGGGAACCTCTAGGCTGGTGTGAATAAAACCAGAGGCATAAACAGCTGTTTGCTATTTCAAAGAGACACCGGGGGTTAGAATCCCTATCAAATCCCCATTTAAAAATGATTTTATGTGTATGGAAGTTTTGTCTGCATATAAGTCTGTGTACCATGTGTATGCCTCATGTCTGAGGAGGCCAGAAGAGGTCATTGGATACCTGGGGGCTGGAGTTAGAGTTGTGAGCTCCCATGTGGGTGCTGGGAATTGAACTCAGGTCCTCTGGAAGAGCAGCCAGTGCTGTTAATCATTGAGCAAACTCTCCAGAGCCACAAATCCATTCCTTTTAAGTGTTAGCAATTCCAAACAACGACAACACCCTATTTTAAGGGTGGGATGCAAGGTCTGAAGGCTACACGGGCTTTGGTGCTTCCAGCTTTTCGACAGTACACATGCCTGGGTTGGAGTCAATCTCCAGTGGTCCCTCACTGTGAGTTGGTGAGCAAGCAAGCTGCTTCACCCTGCCTGTGGACTTGCTGTCTTCACTAATGAAATGGGAAGAATCCAACCCTCCTCTCAGGTTGTCACATGCAACACAGACCCTTGGGCATAGTGCACAATGCACGTCATTGCTTCTCACAGTTCTCTATGAAGCCTGTTTTACTTGAGGTCTTCAGATCCTCTGCAACTGCAGCCAAACCACTTTCCCTTCCTGGGCCTGTCACTGCCTGAAAAGGAGATGCTATCTCACCAAAGTAGTTCTGAAATCTGTACTCACCTTGGCAACAGCATTCCAGAAATCTCTTTGGCATATGTATGAGCAGAACTGGGGGATGGCTCTGGAATGTCTGTCTTCCTTACCTGGTAGGCCTAATGCTGCTCTCCTACAGGCATTCTCTGGGGCCCTGCAGTTGTCCCCCTCACACTCTCACACTCTCATGTACACACACAAGCCCTCCAGTACTAGATCATCAGCTCTTACTAGTCATTCAGATTTTTTTTTGTGGTGAAGAGTTTGAAGCTGGCTTATTCATTCCACTGGATTTTGGCCCCTCTCCTGGGAAGCGTTTCTTGAATTGCAGAGAGAATACTCTTAGGACACTTGTATGAATGATTCTTGTCCCAGCCTTAACACCCACCCCCCTTCTCTTGATGTTTTTATTTTTGTCTTCCAGTGAGTCTGAGGCTCAGCCTAATGACTCAGAGTCATTGGACTCCAGTGTGGCCTGGTTCAACTCCAAAAGCCACACCAGGCTGCTGCCTTTTGCACCGGACCAGGCTGTCAGACTTTAGGGGTTCCCAGTTTGGTACCAATAGTCCTGAGCTCTGAGGGCATGGAGGGAGCATCAGAGATCTAAATGGTACTTCTGAATGGAGTGCTCTCTCCTCTCTCTCTCTCTCTCTCTCTCTCTCTCTCTCTCTCTCTCTCTCTCTCTCTGTCTGTGTCTGTGTGTGTGTGTGTGTGTGTGTGTGTACATACATGTGTACAGAGGTCAGGGTGCAACCTCAGGTGTCATATGCACCTTGTAAAACATTTACATATTTACTTTGTGTGGGGGGTTCATGTGTGAATGTACACTCCATGGCACGTCTGTGGAGGCAAAGAACAACTTGCAGGAAATGGAGTCGGTTCTCTCCTTCCACTACATGGATTGAACTCAGGTCATTAAGCTTGGTGGCGTGTGTCCCTCCTACTTTTCAGACAGGGTCTCTTATTGCTCTGGAACTTCACCAAGTCTAGGCTAGCTGGCCAGCAAGTTCCAGGCACCAACCTCTTTCTACCTCCCATCTCCCCATCACTGGACTTACAGGCTTGTCCTAACACTCAGATTCTTACCTGGGTTCTAGGGATCCAAACTCAGGGCCTCACATTTTTGAGGCAAACATTTTTCTGACTGAGCTATTACCCCAGACCTCCATTTGTACTCTCTCTATGTATTCTAAACCCTCTTTCCCTGTCTGTCAGATCTCCAGCAGCCCCTGCAATGTTAATGAAAATCAAAGCAACAGTAAGGTGTGATGGTAACCAGAGCCCTGCTCGCTTTAGAGCCTTCTGCATCCCCACCTTTCTTCAACTCCCAACCCGGGCTGTGATGAATGTCTTTCTCTTTACAGGGGAGAAAACAGGCTCACGCAGTTAGACAGGGGAGCAGAGGCTCCGGCTCACATTCTAGTCTCAAAAGACTGAACCCAGGCTGGGGATGTGGCTCAGTGGGTGGAATGCTTTCCCAGCATGCACAAAGCCCTGAGTGTGAGACTCTGCCTTTTTGTTTGTTTGTTTGTTTGAGACAGGTTTTCTCTGTGTAGCTTTGGAGCCTATCCTGGCACTCGCTCTGTAGAACAGGCTGGCCTCGAACTCACAGAGCTCCGCCTGCCTCTGCCTCTCGAGTGCTGGGATTAAAGGCATGCGCCACAACCGCCCGGCTGACTCTGTGCCTTTTAAAGTGGGCTGATGGCACATGTCCAAAACCCCAGCACTTGAGAGGTAGAGACAAGAAGATTAGCTCAGGGCCATCTTCAGCTACATAGTATATTTGGGGCCGACCTGGGATACATGAGATCCTGTCTTAAAAAATAAAAGCTATGCCTTCATGCTCCATCAGGTTAAGCAGTAGAGGAATGGGGGCTGAGATTGGGCAAGAGGATTTCTTTATCTGCTTAGGGAAGAAAACTATGGATGAGGACCTATCATGTATCTCTGTATTCCCTGCTTTCCTACCATCGTGCCTAGGTAGAAGTGCTCACTTTTGAAGTCTCAAAGTCTAAAGACCCACCCTTTTCCCAGAAGGGCCATGCTCATCCCTGGAAGGGCATGCCTTCCCTCCCAAGTCTCTGAAAACTGGTTACTGGTTTGCATCTGCCCACGGGGCCATTAGTGCAGGCTTGTCTGCTTAGTTGGGTCACTGGCTCTGGCACCTGCCCATGCAGGTATCAGTTAGTGCTCAATGAAAAGGCAATGGAAGAAGGCATGGCCTGGGTGAGGAGTAGGGGTGAGCAGAAGGCACTGGTGCTCTCCAGGAGCATGGCCAAAGATTAAGACCCTCCCATTCTCCTTGGTACCTCCTACCTGTGCAGGGCAGGGATGGCCAAGGTGGAGCTGGAGCCAGGATTCATGCTCTACTTGGGAGAAGGCCCCATTTTGGCTGGCCAGTTGTTTGGCTCAAGTTCCCCCCAGCCATCCCTTTCTCCCTTTAAACTTGGGGAGGCCTGGAGGCTCCTCCCGTTTAGGTTGGATGGAGTGTGTATTGAGCAAGAGGCCAAGGCTCAGGAGGTCAGTTGACTTGCCCAGGGTCTGCAGCTAGAGATTGGCTGAAGTCAAGCTTTCTCCTCACCCTGAGGGTGCCAAGGAGTGGCACTCACTCAGGCAGGTGACAGGGGCTTTTCTCTCTCTGAGCAGGTTTGGTGGCAGCTTTCAAGGTTGCCACACCGTATTCTATGTACGTGTGTCCTGAAGGGCAGAACGTCACCCTGACCTGCAGGATCCTGGGCCCCGTGTCTAAAGGGCACAACATGACTTTCTACAAAACGTGGTACCTCAGCTCACGAGGTGAGGTTCAAGTGTGCAAAGAACGTCAGCCCATCCGCAACTTCACATTCCAGCACCTTCATCCGCACCACGGAAGCCACCAGGAAGCCAAAATCAGCCACGACCAGGCCCAGGCACATGGGCTAGAGTTAGCTTCTGACCACCATGGTAACTTCTCAATCACCATTCGCAATGTGACCCTGCAGGACAGCGGCCTCTACTGTTGTCAGGTGATGGAGATCAAGCACCACCACGCAGCACAGTGGCTCTATGGGTACACGGAGCTGCGGGTACAGACAGGTGAGCATTCTGTCTAGACTGCCATGGCTGGGAGTGGGGGAGGGGGTGTCTGCATATCTGTCATATGACTATTTATCTGACCATGAGTGACATGACACTCAAGGGCATGAGGCTGTGTAAGGAGTGGGTGGGAACCTGTGTGTGGAGTGCAGGCATGTGATTCTCTTGTGTGTTGTCTCGATTTGTGACAGAGTGACTTTTTCATGTAAGAGGGTATATGTACCTAAACTGGCAGTGTTATTGCTCATGAGAAAATGTAGGCAATAGGGGTGCTGATAGTGTACTAAGTTTGAGTTGCTCATGGCTAAAATGGCTGTGAAGTGAGTGCGTATATGTCTGTCCCGCTGAGGATGCAAGATTTGACTGGATTGAGATGTAGGTGCTAGCAGGTACCCATTTGCTCTAGGAGGTGGCATGAGAACAGGGTAAGTATGTGTGTGCCCATGTGCTCACACTTGCATGTATACACACACACACACACACACACACACACACACACACACACACACACACACACACACACACACACGTGTACAAACTTCATGGGCCAGCAGTGCCAGGCAGGCATTAGCGTGCATTTCTGTGACAGGAGAAGTTACTAGCCTGGACTGACCTCCTTGACTTCATGAGCCTCACACTCATCTAATAGCGCTCTCTTTGTTCCCACAGGCAAAGACTCACCATCTGCGTGCATTGCGTACCCATCTGACGAACAGGACAGTGACAGTAAGAACGGCCACCCCCATATCTCCTGTGCATTCTGTTCTTTCTGTATTTACCTTGGGCCCAGACCCTGTTCTGGACTGTCACCTCAGTCCCACACACCTGCAGACCACCATACTCTCTGCTGCTGCTTCTATCCCTTTTCTCCTTCTTGACTGTGGCCCCGGAAGCCCCTGCTCCTGCAACTGCTCGATCTGTGAAGCACGGATCACCATTGCCACTCGAGAGAGGTGACACATATTCACACTGCCCAGCGGTACAGCAGGTACTTGACTGTAGCCTGCCCAGCTCTGCTCATAGCCCATTTCCTGTGCTTGTGGAAGGAGACTGGACATGCAGAGTTCGGGGTGGCTGTCAGCCCTGGTGCTGGCCCAGAGAGAGGCCTTATGGGTGAGTTGGAGGGCTCTGCTCTCAGGGAGGCTGGACACATAGAGGTTTGTTTGCAAATGCCTTGTGGCATGTATAGTAGGCAAGGGGACATGTTTTAGGGTGCCCCACATCCCATAAAGAGAGGGGCTGTGGTTTATAGGTTTGTTAGGCATCTAGTGTGAGCCAGCTCTTGCTTAAGCTCTGGTGGAGCAGAAGGAAAAACTGTGACCCTGGCCACATGCTTGAGGGTTTGAGCCAGCTGAACTACCGTCTTATGTAAAGCCCCAAAGACCAAAGCAACTCAAAGATCAAAGCAACTTTCTAGTCAAATTACTCATATTTTCAAACCAACCAACCCTACCATGTACAAAACTGAATGACAGCCACACCAGCATGGCTGTGAGGCCTTCGGTTCAGGCTCTTCTGCCACACACTGCTGAGCTCGAGTGTGTCCTCAGCACCAAGCCGCGATGCCGTCCTCACTTCCCCTCTGAGCATCCTCTTCCTTCCCACGGAGCAGCTCACACTGTGTGCCCACATGTATGCGTCTGAGGGGACACAGTGGTGGAGCATGGTGACATTCACTTCCCCATGGTTCCTTCATTCTGAGCAATCACCCTGGCCCTGCTTCTTCCTCAAGAATCTGTCTTTGCAAACTGCTACTTCTGCTACTGCTGCCAGCATGTCATGAGTGGGGAAAATGAGGGTCAGGCAGGCTGTGGCTGACCTGGAACTAGCTATGTAGTCCATGCTGGCCTGGACAGCAATCCTCTTGCTTCTGCCTACGAAGTTCTGGGGTTCCAGGTGTGAACCACTAGGCCTGGCTTCAACAGGACCTCGTGAAAATAAGCCATATGCTTTCAGTCTTGGGGACAGGGACAGAAGATGGTAGAGGGGAGAGTGCTGGAGAAGTGGACCGGCCAAGGAGGTTGGGGACTTTTCTATTCCTGAGACTTAGAGGAGAAAAATCCAAGGGTGAGGTGGAAGCGTGAACCTGACCTCCAAGGAGGTTCATCTTTCTGTTCCATGCCTCTCCGCCCTTGGGTTTTGATGTTTTAAATCCTTGCCAATTCTTTGAGCTGTGAAGTCTCTTTCTGGCTCCTGATTCCTTGAGCTATTGTCCAGGGAATTGGCTTGTGGAGGACCAAGAGAACATGCTTGATGCCACTGCGGCTGCTGATGGCAGGGGATGACTCTGATGACCTCTGATGTCCCTCCCCTTCCAGGTTCCTGGTTTTTGCAGTCTGGACACTCACCACTAAGCCTGAGTTAGTTCCCGGGTATACTTTTTGGGAGCGTGTGTGGAGAATCTGGGCAGCACTACCCCAGCATCATTTCTCTATTGAGGAATGGGGATGCCCATGTCCCTTTTACAGGGATGCACTTGTGATCTAAGGGGCTACATCACGGATGGGGACCACTTTTATCTCAGGTCCAGGGAGCTGGAGGACAAACAGTAGGGTGGGGTGAAGGCTGGTGAACACTCAGCCACCAGTCTGCAAGGGTAGTTCCATCGCCATGGAAGTATGGGTTCCAATCTCCTCTTGATGCACACTGGGCCTAACATCCCAAGGCAACTTGTCCACCCCTGTGCTAAGGGATGGGAACTGATGGTAAACACAGGTAGGTTCCTTAACACATTTCTAGAGCATTTGCAAGGCCACCCATGCCATTGCTAAACAGGCCCCAGGGCCAGCTGCTAAGCACTATTCTCTACTGTTCATTAACTCTGGAAGGTCCCAACCTCCACTCTCTCTCATACCAAAGTGTTCAACCACAGCACTCACTGGGTCTGTTAACGATGCTTCCAGCCAGGAGGGTCTTTGTGTTTTTCCTTTTCTAATTCCAGTCTGAGTGGCTAAATGCTATCCTATGGGAGAGTAGCTTAGATTAAACCAGGACCAAGTCCAAGTGGGTTTTGGGCAAGAGGAAGTGTTGGTGAGGGGAAGGAGCCTGCTAAAGGTGTAGGCTGGCATTTGTTTGCATTGCCGAGGGGCTGTGGATTTCCCCTGAGATCAGGGCAGGGCAGGGCAGCCTGTCTCTGTACCTTTCCTATCCCTCAGGCAGCAGCATGTGCCAGATGCTTTCCTCAGCCTCCTTTGCACACTCCCACAGGGTACCTGGCAGGCCCTGGACCAAGCTGGGCCTTCCCATCCTGCACATGGGCCTGAAAGGGCCTGGTACATGCCATGGGGTGCTTTTGGCACCGTCTCGCACCAGTGTCTCATCACCTTCCCAGGAAGAGCCTGGCTCCAGATGGTGAATAAGATTTCTCTGCAATGGGTGCCACTTTGGAGTAAGGGGAACTGCAGTCAGGCTGGCTTTACAAAGGTGTCCTAAGCCTCTGGGGGCAGCCAGGCCCACATGCATACCTCCCTAGTCTGCCCCTGCAGTAGCCTGAACAACAAGTCCATTGTATAAGGAAACTGGCTCTGGAAGTGAAACCAAAGGAACCATAGAGGGCAGGATTGCCACTTGCAAACAAGAGGGTCAGGGAGGGAGGTCCTGGCCAAATCTTCAAGGCGGAATGTGAGCACCTGGCTAACTGCACCACGAGTTGCTTAGTAACTGTGGGATGAGAGAAAAGTGCTTTTGCCACCAGCTTCTCAGATTGCCCACAGTAAGGTCCTTGGATGGGGTTTAGCCACACTGAGTGGTATGAATTATAGAACGCTTTTTACTTTCAGTATTCCACGTTCAAATGCAGCCACATTACAACCGGCAGGGAAGCTGCTTTCCTGTGGATTGGAACTTCCTTTGCAATTCGCCTAGCAATTGGTACTGTTTCCATACCAATGGGTATTTCTAAAGTGCCTGCCAATGGTCTGCCCAGTTCAATACACCTCACTGCGAGCCCATTTATGCTTCCATACTGCTTAGCAATACAGTGGGATAAAAATGGCCTTTGTTCCCAAATAAAGTGCAGAGGCAGCAAATAGACCAAGGCACATCCGACTCCCAGAGCTCTCTGGAGGCGAACCTGATGCTATGACAAGAGATCCTAGCCATGTTTTGGCAGAGAGAAAGGCTCAAATTGGGAAGGAAATGGTTTACTCTGGTTGTGGTTCCGAGGGCTCGTCTGTTCCCAGCTAAACTCCTGGAGTCAGCAGATGGACTGAAATAAACCAACCCCCTATGATGTGGGGCTCATGCAGTGGCACGGCCCTTTCTGAGATAATTGTGCAACAGCCTAGAGGGAAACACACACAACGCTCCCTGGCTCAGGGCTTTGATGCTAAGTGTTTAGGTTCAGATGCCCTGCCCGGGTGAGCAGAAATCTGAGCCTAAGGATTCCTTGTTGCAGGATGAGGACTGTTGAAAATGGAAGTAAACAATGTCTGCACCAGACAGGGATGTTTCTATCAATTTGGGGCAAGCTGTGTATAATAGAGCCCTGGAAAGAATGAAGTGGGTCTCTGTGTAGATAGATGTCCAAACTGTGCTTGGGGGCTGGGAGAACATTCTTACGGATTTCCGTAAGATAAGGCCAGATTGCTGGGAGTTGGTGGCGCACGCCTTTAATCCCAGCACTCGGGAGGCAGAGGCAGGTGGATCTCTGTGAGTTCGAGACCAGCCTGGTCTACAAGAGCTAGTTCCAGGACAGCCTCCACAGCGACAGAGAAACTCTGTCTCGAAAAACCAAAAAAAAAAAAAAGATAAGGCCAGATTTAGATAGATAAGGACTGTGGTCTGTGTGGGGGGCCAGGTTGAGGGAAAGAAGAGATTTTTGAATTTTCATATGTGTTTACATTCCTTTGTATGCATGCATGTATGTGTCCATGCAGAAGCAGAGGTTGACATTGAGTGCCTTCCTTAACTGCTTGCTACTTAAGTTTTTGAGGTAGAGTCTCTCACTGAATCTACAGCTTACAGTTAGATGAAACTGGCTGGCCAGTGATTCCCAGGGATTCTCCTGTCCCCACCTCCCCGCTGTCAGTTACATGTGGCCACGCCTGGCTTTTTGAAAAGGTTCTGGAGAGCCAGCTCTCAGGCACTCATACTTACACAGCACATACTTTACCGACTGAGCCATTTTTCTATCCCCTTTGTTTTTGCCTATTTAAAGTTTTTTTTTTTTTTTTTTTTGTAAGGACATTTCTCTAGTCCCCCAACCCCCATCCCAAGTGCTGGGAATGGAATTCAGGGACTATGCATGCTAGCCAAATGCTACATCCCTAGCCCAGTTCTCTCATTCTTGTTGCCAATTTTATTCTCCTATAACTCTCTCTCTCTCTCTCTCTCTCTCTCTCTCCTTTTCTCTCTCTC